GCTGGGATTAAAGGTGTGGGCAACCACTGCCTGGCCTGAGTTTGCTTTCTTTTGAGAAGATCTCACTATGTAGCTCTGGCTGTCCTCAAACCCACAGGAATAATCCCCCTATTTCTGCTAAGTGAGGGTGTGCCTGGCACAAATTTACTCCAAGAGTTCCAGGATGGTGGAAAATTCAATTGTTCAAAACATTTTAACAGGACAAAAATACTTTTTGTTAAAATGAAAAAAATTTTTTTCAATTTAACTTATGAGAATTAAAAAGTTTTCCTAAACCTTATTTTGTTCTTTTGTATTTGTTTCTTTGAGATAGGATTTCTGGGTGTTACAACCCTGGCTGTCCTGGAACTAGCTCTGTAGATCAGGCTGACCTCAAACTCAGAGATCCTTCTGTCTCTGTTGGGATTAAAAGCATGCACCACCATTGCCAGGCTCCCTAAACCAATTTTACAAGTGTGTTGCAAGCTGGCATGATGGCTCCATCTTGTAAATCTTACCACTTTGAAGGCTGAGGTAGGAGGATCACTGATGTGGGCTACAAAGAGATCCTGACTCAAAACAGAAGAGGAAAAAAAAGGGGAGGAGGAAGGAAAAATTTGTTGCTTAAAAGCATTATGGGAGGAGGGAGTCTAGCCCAGAGAGTATTCTAATTTCTCTTAAAAAGCAAAATTAAAACAGCAGGGTAGGTTTTAAATATTAATTAAAATGGTTTGCAAATAAAAAACAGTTCTCAACACAGTGATTTGTGTATCATCCACTTGAAGTCCAGACCCCAAGGACTGTGAACTCACTTATTACGAGGTGCCTGTAAGCTGTATTGCTTAAAATAATGCCACCAAAGTTTATGGTTTTGGGTGGGACACAGCCTTGTATATTTTACCTCCTTACATGAGAGCCTTAAAGAGTATGAGATGAGGCTTTACATGAATAGCTAGCCATGTGGAAAGTTCCAGCTCAGGGGATAAGATGCTGTCCATGCCTTTCATGGGGAAGGCACTCACGTGTTTCTTGAAGACTGCCATTTTAAGCAATGTTAGCATAGAGTGTAGGCAGATGCAAGCATGTTGGGGCTTTGACCCACATCCCTTCCACAAGCCTGAACAGTTCGTCTTCTTGTCCAGGATTCGGCCCCTTCAACCCTCAGCTCTGACTGCACTTGGCATTTGTGGAGATGGCTGACAGCTATGGGTTATGGCTCACATAGACGTTCAAAACAGCCAGACAAGCACAAAACAGAGCAATGACGCCAGCGACAATCCTCCAGGTCCTGGCCAGCATTCTTACTAACCTGTTAAGAAAGGGATCTGAACTATTGGTTGTCATTGTCCTCAATTCCTGAGACATCCCGGGGGAAGACACAGCATTCTGAGTTCCTCCGTCCTGCTCCAGTGTGGGCAACTGGCTTCGGAGAGCTAATTCCTTAAACAAATAAACAAATGTAGAGAGGATCAGTCTGCTGATTAACAAATTTATTGTTAGATTAAAAGAGATAAAGTGTCACAATGAAAAGGGGGGTGTAGTGTATTACAATATTAATGTTTTCCTTAAAGCTAACATGTTTCTTAATCAGAATAACCAAATTCTTCTATATACTTCAAATGACTAGAAAGAAACTAAGCTGCAGACATGTCAGTTTGCCTACTTGTACTAATCCCCAAACATGCATAATTAACATTAACATTTCATTTCTCTTTATTGGAAAAGACCCCCAAACCCTTCCTGGCTTTAGACAATTCTTCTTAGATTTTGTCATTACTTACCAGCTCTCAATGGTTTGGGCCAGCAGTAAAAACAGAACAGAAAGAACATTTGATGACTTGTTGCCAGACACAACCCTCCCCTCAGCCCCAGCAGTGTTTATACCCTGCCATCAAGCCTCCTTGACTTCAGGGACCCCCTCCCCCAAGCTGGACAGAGCCGTGTCCTCTCCTCTGGGGAGACATGTTTACAGGGCTCCAACAGTACTCAGGAGAATCCCACCTGGGCATCTGGCCAGGAGATGTTTCAGAGTTTTCGGCCAGGGTCTCTCACTGACGCCGTCACTACTCTGCCCCTATGTCTCCTGTGCAACCACCACCCTTGCTTGAGCACAGGCTCCCTCTGCCTACTTGTTAGCTGACTTGCAATATGGCCTTCTCTGGGCATCACAAAGGACACTGCCAGGCCCCTCTGCAATTGCCTTTAAGGCACACCCTTCCTCCAGCTCCTCCCACCCACGTCATCCCTGCAGTGTCCAGGGCCAGAAAAACCGTTCTCTCCACAGCCACTTCCACGATTTCTCCTCTCTGTAAACCCACTTTTTTTTTTTTTTTTTATATCCAGGCTTATTTATACCCTCTGTTCATTTCCTTGTTTAAACTGGAGCTCCATAACTAGAGGTGCCTGAAGATTCAGGTTTTTGAACTTGTGTGACAACGTGGAAGGGAAAGATTACCTTAAATTTTTGGCAAATATGAATGCAAATTTTACATTTTCTTTAATTATGAATGGACAATAACAGTATTCATTGTGGGTCTGATTTTTCATCAGTATTTCCATAACTCAGACATTTCCATAATATATTATTACTTCATAAGTACTATTTATATTCATTATTACAGATCCTTTATATATTATGACAAGCTATGCAATAAATTCTCCTTTACTATTGATAAGCATTATTAATAAAACCTCCATTCCTTAGCCACCAAGGAAATGCAGATCAAAACTAGTTCAAAGCTGGGTAGCATAGGCTTTTAATCCCAGCACTTGGGAGGCAGAGGCAGGCAGATCTCAGTGAGTTCAAGACTACCCTGGTCTACAGAGCTAGTTCCAGGACAGCCAGGGCTGTTACACAGAGAAACCCTGTCTTGAAAAACTAAAAGGGAAAACAAAACAACCCACAACTCGTTCAAATGACTATCAAGAAAACAAACATGCTGAGGTAGGGAAGAAAGGAAACCTTACATGATGCTGGAGGGTATGTAAATTAGTACAGCCACAATGGAAATCAGCACAACATAGACATTAAAAACAGAAGGACCATCAGACCAGCTGCATCACCCTGGGGAAACAGAGGGATTGAATTCCTAGAGACACTTGCACATCTATGTTTATGCTGGGTTATTCACAACAGCAGAGGCAGAAGTGGAGACCCAGTAAGCCAGATGTGTAGGTAGATAAAGAAAACGTGATATATACGCACAATGGCTTTTATTCAGCCACGAAGGAAACACATGAAAATGGAGGTCAATATAGTGAAACAAGCAAAAAAAGAACTGAAAAAAACAAAAACAAAACAAAAGAAACCCACAAACCAGGTATCATATGGTTTCTCCCGTTGTGAAATATGAGGAAAGCACATAACATACACATATGAAAGTCATAATGAAGCCCGCTGTTTGATATGCTAGCCATTTGGTGGGAAGTGACTGTAATGATGGGTGCCCCCCCACTCTTGGATGACCTCTTCTCCCACTACACTTCATACTCCAGACTCTTCCTACTCTGGTCGCCTGGCTTCTTCTGTCCTTCTTATAAGCTGGAATCCATGACTAGTTAATGAAATATACACAAGGACCTTTCAGGTTCTGACATACAGTTTTTCCACCCAGCAAATTTCAACTTGGAGCTGGGTGTCTGGAGCTCAAATGATCCCATCTTTTAAGCTGAAATTGCTGCAAGGTGGCAGGGGCAGGGAAGGGGGGGACACACAAGTGTCCATATTGGAATCGTTACAAGCGAAAGGTCTTCAGTTGTGTCTGGGCCCTGTACCTGTGTGTGTGTTTGTGTCTGTCTTTCTTACGCAGTGTCTGCATATCCTCTAGTGAGTAGAGCATATGTCCACCCCTTTCCCATTTCAACAAGGAACGAGACCACCAGGCCCAGCCTGAGATCTTGTCATCTCTTCCTGATCTGCCCAGCAGTTAGTCCACTTCCTTGGCAGTGCAGGGATGACCCCTCCATCTCTGTCCAACGGAGTTCTATCACTGACTTTCCTACACCACCCTGAAAAGTGAGACGTGACTCCTCTAACAGTGGTGCATTCCTGCAGTTTCCCCATGTGTGGTTCTAGCTAGGACATGTCTTTCTTCCTGGTGCTTAGAGCTTAAGAAGCAACACTTCTTTCATGTTAATTGTTAAAACCCTGAACACACAGCAAGCTTATGGCACTGATCATACTGTATTTATCCCATGTTCTTTAAGGACAGAGTAAATAAGCTGTTTTACTGAATAACAACAGTAACACTGTGAAAATGAAGACTCCCAGGGTTTTGTGATGAGCTGTGGGGGCAAGTTAGGCAAGTGCCATCCCTCCCCCATATCCCAACACCTCAGATTCATTTTATCAGAGACACGTGGTGATATATTATTTAGGATTTATTAAAGCTTGCCCGAGGGTACAGAAAGCAAAGCTAGACATAAGCCATAGAAGCCAAGCAATGGTGACACACACCTTTAATCCCAGGACTCAAGAGACAAGCAGATACATCTGTTAGTTCAAGGCCACACTGAGCTACATGAACTTGATCCAGTCCTAAAAAGAAACAGCTCACAACGAAGGTGATCTCAGCACCTGGGATCACATGCCTTTAATCCCAGGATTTGAGAGAAATAAAGAGGCAGCAGTCTGGGATTGCAGTCTGAGGTTTGGTGAGATTTATTCCCCAGTCACGCTAAGCAGAGGGCAGTCCTTTCAGCCTAAGGTAGAGAGGTAAAAGCTAGTGACCAGCTAGCTAGCTGCTTTGCTTCTGTGATCTTCAGCTTGAAACCCAGTATCTGTCTCTGGGTTTTTATTAATTGTGTTACAGAGACATCTGTCTGCCTGGCTTTGAATTTCTTTCAATAAACAGCAGCATTGCCATAACTGACCAACAGTTGATAGAAATAACTGTACTGTGTTTGTGGTGGCACACACCTTGAATCCCAGCATTCAGGAGGCAGAGGCGCAATCTCTGAAATCCAGGCCAGCCTGGTCTACAACAGTGAGTTCCAGGACAGCCAGGGCTATACAGAGAAACTCCTGCTCAAAAAAAAATTAAAAAACCAAACCAAATTTAATTGCCCCACGATTTTACTGCTTTGAATTCTGCTGCTTTTCTGGTTTTGGAGCTATTGTTACTTCCTCCTTCATTTAACAACTCAGTTTCTCCCATCAGGAGATGCTGCAGACCCAGCAGACTCAGTGAAAAGGCTGCCATTCATTCCTAGTTACCCAAGGAACCCAAACTTCAGAAGAGCACCTGAGCCACAACCAAAAACTCAGCTAAAGTGACCTTGAGAGGATCAATGAAAACAGGTACTGTGGGTGATGGGTTGGCATTAGTTTGCCAAGAAACCAGAACCAAAGACATTGATAATACATGCGCGCACAGACACATACACACCAGACATTTTAGTCCAAGCCGAATTCCAAAATTTCTAGAAAGAACTGAGTAGGTACCCTGAGTAGTTCTGACACTGATTCACACCCATGACTTCTAACTGTACACAGTTCTGTAACTGGGGCTACAGACACCAGAATCAGCCCTGTTTCCTCCTACGGTTGCTGTTCTCCTCACTCCCATCCTCAGCAAACAAGGACCTGCATTCTCTGCCATTCCCAGTTAGCACTTAAGACAAGTTCTGTGTGAATGGAACCACATGGCATATACTGTTTCATTTGGTGTACACACACACACACCACCAACCCAGACCTAAGCTAGGTGAGGTGGTGGTGCACACTTGTAATTTCAGCACCTGGAAGGCTGAGGCAGGATTTTAAGTTCTAAAGTCAACCTGGGCTACAAGAACGCTGTCTCAAAAAACCAAAAACTAGTCTAATCCTCTGCCCCAATTTTTTACTATTACCACTGTGTTCATCTTCATTTTTTAAAAGATGGCATTGTTTTTAATACAGAGCACACACTAACTGCCTTCCTTTTCTCTGATCTCAGTAGTACCGAGGATCAGATTCAGCACCTCACACTTGCTGGGCAAGTACTGTGTGTGGGAGAGGACACTGCTACTGAACCGGGTGGTAAATACAAGTCCATCTTGGGATTCAGTAAACCCTTCCTTATGACCCACAATGGAAAGCACCCTCAGACTAGGCTAGGACCACTGACTTTATTCACAGTGCAGATCCAACTCTAAACATGTCCCAGATTAGCTGAGATTTACAGGCTCACTGGGAAAAGCTACTGCATGTTTGAATTATTACAGAAGAAAATGCACTAAAAATACTTACTTGACTTAGAAAAAGTCAAATACTCTAGAAGAACTATTTGACCTTTGACACAGAGCAAAAGCCTGACTAGGCTCTGGCCAAACTTCTGACTTGCTTACTTCCCCATTTTTGAAAGACTTTCACAAACTTTTCCAACTACCTTTGGGAAAAGAGAAGTTTAACAAACCCATATTTTTAGTTCAGCAGTCTAATTTTAGGCGTTGTGTTCAAG